AAAAAAAATTTAGGTCTAATGGAAAGTCATTTGATGTGTTTTTTGGAGCAGCGGTAGAAGTGTTGAGGGGATCGGATTCTGATTTGCACTTTTGTTCCTGACCATCGCAGACTGCTAGCCAACTGCAGAAGCTGGCTGCAGTTACAGAAGAGCCTAAAAATGAAGCACGGCCATCAAAAACATTCTCCAGAGGTGCAAACATATATATCTTGTATTTCTTCTTCTCGTGGGTCACGCTGGTCTTGTTCCTGGGCTGTAGGACGTCCTGGGCGGGCTGAATCTGAGCGACCCTCTCACGCACGTGTCTTTCGCTAACAGCTAGCATGCTAGCGGCCATGACGACGAGGTTCGTTAGCATACGGCGCCTTGCGGGAGCCTGTTTGTAGAAACCTTCTGTCCTGAACAGGGCATGGCTGCCTGGATCGCTGGTACTGCGGGGAGCGTCCTCCCGGTCTCAGAGAGCCCATCTTGCCATGCGGAGGCAGCGAGCGAAGGAGGCATGAATGTAACAAGCTCTGTTATCTCAGAACCTCAGGGTATCATAAATAAAACAAAGGAGAGCTTCACTTCGGAGGTCAAACAAGAAGAAGAGGGCTGTGTGCCAAAGACGCTGACGCACCGCCGACTGGAGAGAGAGCCAAAAACGGTGCGAAGGGGCCTCTGCGCCCGCCACTTTAGTCGGACATTAACGGGATTGTGGGTTCCATCCATGATCTATGACTCATCACAGGGAGCGCCTCTCTGCATGGTGGAGGCCAGCTCGCTAAGCCCTGCTTTCGTTTTTGGTCTGTGAAGCTGATTCGGTGCTTGGACTTCCTCATTACCAACAAATGGAGGCGCCAGGACCTTTGACGGGGTCCCAGCCCACAGAGTAAGGGGACGGGGACAGGTCATGAAGTGAGGGGACAGGGACAGACCAGAGTAAGGGGACGGGGACAGACCACAGAGTAAGGGGACGGGAACAGACCACAGAGCAAGGGGACAGGGACAGACCACAGAGTAAGGGGACGGGGATAGGCCATGAAGTGAGGGGACAGGGACAGGCCAGAGATCAAGGGGACGGGGACAGACCACAGAGTAAGGGGAGGGCACAATCAGCAAGCCCCACCTCATAATGGGATCCGGTCATGATTTATGGATTATCTCCCACTAATGCAGATCATCGGCTGAGTCGGACACCTGGGCGGGCTGACAGAGGTGGGGGCCCCAAGGTCATGGAGGTGTCTAGTCACACTTGAGAAGGAACTGATTACTCTAATGGACAGATAGGAGGCGTGTTCAGGTCACAGACCCTAGGCAGGATACGCCTGGAGGATCAGGCAGGGCTGGGGGCTGAGCGTTCCTCAGCGCCCCCTCAGCGCCCCCCTTCAGTGTCATCTCAGCGCCCCCTCAGCGTCCCTCAGCGTCCCTCAGCGCCCCCTCAGCGCCCCCCTTCAGTGTCATCTCAGCTGTTTGCCTCTTAAAAGCCTTTAGCGACAGAATTCCTCCTTCGTCCTGATCTCAAACAGCGGTGGAAACGCAGGGTGCCATTAGATACCTATGCGTAGTGCTGAAAATTGGCAAAAAAAACTGTTTACCCGGATTTTCTCAGCTTTTTTTTTTTTGTTGGTCTCACTCGTGTTTTGCAACTTTGTGCTAAATCAGTTGTCACTTCCGATGTCACAAAGGCACCATGAAAAGTGACATTCTGTGAAAATAAACCCAGCACCATTTTCACACAGGATTTTGCCACTGTCATTAAAGTTCGCTCCTATTTATTTATTAATCTTGGAAGGCAGCGAGGGACAAAGAAAACAAAGAAACATCACATAATTGCCCCGGGAGGCCTGAAACAGTGACTCCTACATTAGCTGGGGAGGACTTGCTAACGAGCTCTGAAAATAAAACCCTTTCCCCGAGTCTCTTTCAGCCCCTCTGCGGTGCTCGTCTGGATCGGGCCTAACAGGCAAAGAGTGGCCTGTAAACAAAGGCGCTGAGAGCCGCCGGAGCCCCCCCCAGGCCTCTCAGATCCCCTCCAGCGGATCCTATATCCACACCCTCCTCCTCCGCCACGCTCCACAAATCTTCCGTCAGCCACACACGCAGACGCTCGGCTACCTTCATCCTCGTCGTTGGCTGTGACAGTGATGACCGCGGAACCCACTTCCTGGTCTTCCTCCACGCTGATCTCGTACACGGCCTGGGAGAAGGCGGGGGCATTGTCGTTGACGTCCGTGATGAAGATCCGCACGTAGGCTGTGTCTGCGCGTCAGGAGATGAACGGCAAATGGGCTCGTTATGGGTAAATCATATTTCATGTGGCGGAAAGGTTGCAGAAACTGGGAGGCACTCAGAAATAGACCCTCAGTACATCATCACTCAGCCGGAAACTTAAACAACAAAGGAATCCTAAAGGCTAAAGCCGAAACTGATTACAGGGAGGATTATGGCAGCACCTACTGCCCTGTCCCTCCCTGAAGGAGACGTTGGCAACAGTTAGGGGTGAGTCTGGAGAACGGGTCGGACCGGCACCTGTGTTGGGCTGCCCCTGCTGGCCCGGCCTGGCCGACTCCGAGCCGTCCTGCGACTGGACCTCGATCAGATAGGAGCCCTTCTGCTCTCTGTCGAAGGAGGCGCGGCTGTGGATGACTCCTGTGTGGGCGTTGATGCTGAAGAACTGCGAGTCTCCGCTCTGGTCCTTCAGGATGATGTAGTTGATCTAGGGCCACATGTGGTCAGTGTGATCAGAGGTTCCACAAGAGACTGACGTCCTGAACACCCTCACTGTCATTTTAAGTGCTACTATGCACCAATGCATGGGCTGCATACAGTTATTACATAATGTGACTATATATCACTATAGTATTATCACATAATAATAATAATAATAATAATACTCTATATTTTATTATATTCAGAAAAGTAATGTAATTTTGGAAAATGGACTCAAACCTTACTAGCTATGAAGGCTCAGTACCATAAACTATAAAAACATCTATAATGGGAGTGATGTTTACACACTCATTACGTCTCTCTTACAC